GTTTGGTTAAAAACAGACGGCGTCTTTGCCTAGATTTCCATCAGTTGCGTGTTCTGTTCGCTTAACTGAAAATTCCCACTCTGTTCACGCAGTTTCCACTTCCATGAAGACCGCTGCCCTAATATGTCAACTTCTAGTTTTTTTAAAATTCGGTATTATTTTTACTAAATGTTCGCTTTTCCTGAGAGTGTTTTGATCCTCACCGCTTTTTTTGAGTTTTCATGTGACTGCGACTTTTGTAAATGAAAGTGTGGTGGGGTACTTCTCTGATCCTGATGTTCATGGTTTGAGATGCTAAACAGATAATCCACTTTCTGAGGGGAAATAAACGTGCAGATATGCGTTATTGCTAACTTTTTCACGTCCTGTTGCCGGTTGGTCAAATTAGTCCGAAATAATAAGTTTCTCGATTTCTGCATCAGAACCGAGGCACTTTGGTAAAATCGATGACAGTAAATGATAACATCATTTTTTCGGCAATTAGAAGTTACTTTCTTTCTTTTTTCGAGTTGGGTTGGCATAAAAATTATTTGCACGTAGGAGATAGAGTGCACAATCTACCCAAAAACACAATCTTACATTCCATACGTGAACCTCATCCGGGTGATTAGTTAGATAAGTGAAATGGTGAAAAGCTGATCAGTATATGTGCGGTCATTCAGAGTTCCACTTTTTAAACAGTTGAACATGGGTATGCAGTTCAGGCGTTGGCAGTGAACGGCGCTCCCAACCGCTAAAGACCTCCGGCTGTTGCCAAATTTGAGCCAGAAATTTCCTCTTGTTGATGTCTTAAAATCAGTTTGCTGAAGGTCTCCGCTGTTTATTATGCAAATGGCTTTTTGGCGCTACCGGAGGATTTTTCTACGTTTGCATTAAGACATGCAGATTTTATAGCCTGCAGTCTAGAGGCTGTACGCTTTCCATGCAAGGAAAATTACACATCTTTATACGCCATTAAGAAGACATAATACAGGACTCATAAAATTTTGTAATGGATATAGACTATGTTGTATATTCAGAAGATAAAATGGCGAGCGAAAGTTCCTTTCGGTAAATTCTCATCAGGCCAATACATTTACATAGGGCGCGGTACAGTGAGTGAAATAAAAATCGATAAAAGTTAGGTTTTAAATTACAGGCTAGACAAGAGCGGAAGGGCGCCGAAAGTTGTATGTGGTTAGTCAACCTTTGACCACGGTAAGCGCGGAGCCTGAACAAGGTTCTTTTGGGCGCATAGGGTCGGTTTTCGTAACCTTATGGCGGCCGCTTCTGCTGTTGCTAACAGGCGCTGGCCCAGTAGCTTAGGGTATCTCGAGGGGACCTTGTAAATCACATGAAATGCTTCAGTGGGGTCCACACGACGCTCTGAGTCCACTGCATGCGCAAGGATGGCGCTGTCTATTCTCCTTGTTTCACCCTTTGCCAGCCATGCGGGAAGGTGCTTTCGTATTCTTTTGGAAAGGCACCGACTCGTACGACCAATATAACCTGCTCCACAGGAGCAAGTGAATGAGTAGATGTACATTGAGGCGGTCTGAGGTGGCAGCTTATCCTTGCCTTCTCCGCGTAGAATAGGGTTAGTAGAGAATGATATGCGACCCCTTGCTGCTGGGAAGGTTCCCGAGACACCTTGGTCAAGGCGTCTTCTTAGGAGTTCACCTGCAGCGTCTCCTTGGAAGGGAACTTTGAGGAACAACGCTTTCTTTTCGGCAGTTAGTATGGTGGGTTTTGTGGGTCGTTCGGCAGGGTTCTTTGCATATTTGTATATTTCGGAAGGGCATTAATAAATGAACAGAAAGAATACTACTTGAATCGACATTTCTCGGCCTTGGACAGTTTCATGCTCATAAACCTTTTAAAGCCGAAATATAACCATCCTTTCACTATCAAATTTATAAGTATAACTGCCTACCAAATGTGCACAGGAGAGCACAATTCGACCGTGAGTTCTATAAAATATGTTTAGACTCAAAAAGCATCAAAAATCATTGAAAAAACTGCATATTACTTAACTGTTTTGTAGCGAGTGTGTTTTTCGCAGCCGACCGAAAGACTCGCATTCAAAGTTGGCATTCTGATGTAACTGAAACATCTTGGAATGGTGTTGTAGGATTGTCAATATTATAGCCCCACTTATCTTATCCCCTCTGATTGATAAGACATTTCACAATTTCGGTCAACACTTTCATGAGATCAGCAACTGACTGTCCAAGAAACAGTTAATGACATTTCTGTTTTGCCTCAGATATTTGCAAAACGAATCCACAGATGCTCAACCGTGACAGCCGAACGTCGCTCCACTGTTCGCACAAGGCTTTGGAAATCAGCAGGCAAGGAGACGTGCTGTCTGGTTAATGCCGGTCTCAAATGCTTGTCGGGCAGCGAATTCCATGAGGACAGGAGTTACGACATGGTTATACTACCGAAAGTGCAGTTGCCGGTGCCCACACTGACGTGGGGCCTATTGGATCCCGTATAATTTGTTATGGTATTTCAGGAGGAAATCCGCCGTTTGCCTGCTTTAAATCAATGTTTAAGGGGTGATTAGGTAACAAGCATTCGCTATCTGTTATAAGAATACGCATCGATCTTGGACTTTCTTATAAATCCTTTGCGGGATGGAAGATATTTCTTGCAATATTCATTCTAAATTATTTGAGCTTTCCTTGGAAAACACCAAAGCTGTTCTGTTGCAGTCAAACGTGGCGCTCACCGATCGTTCTTACGGAACTCACTCGTTCCGTCGTGCCCTATGGGCTCTCTCTCGAGCCCAACCAGCAGCCGCATAGCGGTGCATGATATAGGCAGTATGTTATTACCGGCAAAGACGATGGAGACTGGAATGGCCATTTCTGGCTTATTAATCGCTGTCAGCCAGTCATATCCAGCCCCGGAACAGGGCACACCCGAGGCTTGAACTCGCGATCTGTTTGTTAGACGTCTACGCCTCCAACCACTGAGCCACGAGCCCAATGTCCTGTCGGTTTCCGATCGGGAATATACAAGGGTAGGGGGCGCTCACCGATCGTTCATACGGAACTCACTCGTTCCGTTGTGCCTTAAGGGCTCTCTCTCGAGCCCAACCAGCAGCCGCACGGCGGCTCGTGATATAGCAGTATGTTATTACCGACAAAGACAAGGGAGACAAGGGAATATACAATGATAGGGGGCGCTCACCAGTCTCCCTTGTCTTTGTTGGTAATATCATTCTACTCATCTTACCTCACGCCGGATGACACTACCGGAATGCCAGATCGACTGTCTGGTAACGATAGGGTGTAGAACCCACAAGGAGATGGTAAGTACAAAATATATAGATGAGATGGAGCCGACAAAGACAAGGGAGACCGGAATGGCCATTTCTGGCTTATGAGCCGTCATCAGCCAGTCATACCCAACCGCATGTGTGGATCACAGCCGACAGGACAACGGGCCCGTGGCTCAATGGTAAAGCGTCAAACTCCATGACCAAAGATCCCGGGTTCGAATCTCAAGTGATCCACACTTGGGGTTGGGTATGACTGGCTGATGACGGCTAATAAGCCAGAAATGGCCATTCCGGTCTCCCTTGTCTTTGTCGGCTCCAGCTCATCTATGTCTACTACTAGTCGCTGTGCGACTGCCTGCGAGGGTTCTAGTATGAGCCCCAAGGCACAACGGCACGAGCATGTTCCGTAACCTGATGGGCAAGCGCCCACTGTCATAAGTACAAAATATACCCTTAAATTCAGTGTGACTGTAAATACCGCCTACTAACCACCGCTCCCATTGTTTGAAATTTCCTGTCCTTGCTGATTAAATGTAAACTTACCGGCGGCGCTTTATATAATGTCCGTTGTCTTTCGAAAATTGCTTTCTTGCCTATATTTTAACCATCGCGCTCGCCTTCTTTGCCGAATGACAGCGTACAATGACAATTCTGGGAGAAATTCATCTTTTTTCTGTGTCCTTTTGCTCTGTGTTGCCCCACTTGTAAAACTACCTGTATCACCATTCAACGGATGACACGGTCCACAGGCCAGCTCAAGTTAATTGAGGGTCCTACACCCTATGGTTCCCGGTCGTCGTAACCAATGATGCCCACCGCGTGTTCTCTAATGGGGAGGGGGGACAAGGATGGGGAATCGCGCGTGACTTCTTCATGATGATAGGAGACTTGCGCTGCGTCTATCGCACCTCTTCTCCTCCCCCCCCCACCTGGGTTCAGTGTATAGAGAGGATCAAGAAGGCTAGAGTGAGGAGAAGGACACGGGCGGCTGGCGTGCTAAGAACCCGCACCTAGGCGTACCACCACACCCCCCGGTCCATAATGGACACTGACCAGCATCTTATACCACAGGAAAACGGCAATGTGGTTCGAATCCGAACTGGATGGGCGTGACCCACTACGTGTCGCGTGTGTGGCATTTGTTATAGTTGCGCATTCCCAATTACGCCCGGCCGACCCCGATCTATCCCCGGTGTCATTCTAGCGCGGCTATCTCTTAAATGGTTTTGGGTGCAAAAGACTGCTAGAATACCTTCCATTTAAGCTAAGGAGGCCATTTATTTGGCAAAGAGTATGAAAACTGAGGTCGATGAGCACGACAATATCAGGAATGTATGGTCCTCCGCTGATTCACGAACAAGAACTGCTCCTACGTCCAATCTTGAATATGAGGAATTCGCCCAATCAAATGTTTGCAAAATGGCTAGTAGGAAGACTGAAGCCACTGCAAAGGTATTTGTACTTTCGAAGTCTAAAAGGCTCCTTTAAGTTCGTCGAGGCCATCAAAAATATTAACGGTAGCGGACGGAGGATGCTATCACGGGACCTATCATCGCTGTTTACCACCGTACCCGTGTCAAAAACAATAAACTATCTTTGAGATGTTATTTCGGATACGAACTACTCCATATGCATGTCAGTGAAAACGCCCAAAGAACTACTGGCGCGTTGCACTTAAAAAGTCCAGTTTATCTGCAACGGTCAACTATGCAGGCAGATAGATGACGTGGCTATGGGCTCACCGCTTCAGCCGTTCTTTGCAAAAGTTTTTATCGGCAAAGTTGAGAAAAAAAGACTACAAGATACCATTAATGACCTCCTCTTCTACGGTTGGTACGTGGACGATATCTTCGGCCTGGTGGATGGTATCACCGATACCGAGGACCTTGTGCAAAAGTTCAACAATGCGCACCCCTCGCTAAAGTTCACTGCAGAGTCCGAGGCAGATAACGAAATTGCGTTTCTCGATATCCTTTTGCACAGGCAAGAGGATGGATCTGTCCAGCGCAGGGTGATCCGAAAGAAAACCTGGACGGGACAATACGTTAATTTCCGCAGTTTTGCTCCCTAAACACTAAACAAAATTTGGTCCAGGGATTGACGGCTAGAGTGAGGCTCGTCTGCTCACCTGAAGTTATTGAAGCAGAGCTCCAACAACTACGGAACACACTTCGAGAGAACGGATACCCATATAGATTTATCCTTTGAAATATTGGGGAACGCACTGCAAAGCCCACTGTTGTGACTGCAGAAACGAAAGATATTTTAAAAAGACTGCTTTTTTGCGGAGGACGGAGTGGACGAACTAGTCAGGCGACGCTTAACCACAGCTATCACGAGAGCTATCAGCGAGACGCCTGATAAAGATGACTCGTGAACAAATGCCCGCCTGGTTGGACATAAGTAAGACCCGATCGATTTCGAGTTTCATTCTCGCACAATTAGTCGATGACAAGGAAGCATTTCAGATTATCTACCGGACACCAACAAGCTTCTCGGAAGACCTACGCCAACCGGTGCTAACAACGGCCGAGGCAGTGGTTATGTGGCTAGTGAATCCAGTGCTACAGTGAGTGACCGATCTAATGAAATGTTGGCTGAAAATCTGAAATGCGTTTTTCATTAGGAAGGTTTACTTGGTCGCGGTTGTAATACTGATTATCTTGCGGCCTAATCTTATAACGTTTCGGACTCGGCCGGATGTCAGCTTTTGAATGCATTGTTTTACAATCTCCTGTAGAAACCGTATTCGGTAAAAAAAACTGCTACTTATATAGCATGTATTTTTCCCATGGACTTTCGAGGGTCTTGCAAATTCATATATATCTTATAGAAACCACAAGCAAAAATATGTTTTCTTTCAGTCAGTTAATAGAGAATTACGTATTTACTTCTCTAGGAATACTTGTGCATAGTCCACCTCATAAACGACAAAAAGACAGTTGAATTTAGTTGGGGGTGGAGTTACACCACCTCCTCAATTCTGGAATAATTCTGAACGCAACCTGCCGTTGCACATGCATTTAGGGTTTCTAAACTATAAACTGCACATCTTCCCTGTAAGGAGAATCACACATTTATATGCGATATTAAAAAGGTGTCGCATATATGCAAATCCAGTCCTATGATCTCAGAAACCGCCGAAGCAAACGCTCTCTCTGCCGTGGCCAAAGCCAACCTCAAGTGATGATGACATGCCACAACAAGACTTTAGTTACAGTTTTGAGTACTCTGTGTACTCAATCCAAGAATATCATTCAAAAACTCGCTTACCGCCCTCCCTTAGTCCTGAAGCCCAAAACCCACCGACTTCGTCATGCAGGCGGCGTGGGGGAGATGCGTTTTAATGACTTAATAGCCCTTGAGACATCTATAAACACTGTTAACTTTGTATATTTTCATTCCTCCATGTAACTGCGCTGGCCTGACGAAGAATATCCTGAAAACACGTGTTTGCCAACTTGACTTTTAAAAATTAGTTGTGTTTTTAGAAAAGCATGCAGGGGGAAAACGACTTCCTTCTGTTGATTCGAACACCGCCAATTGACCTCCATTCTCCAAACTCACTACTGTTAGCAGAATCTGCCAGATGTTCTTCTTGGCTCCAAGCCAGTGGTTTAATTAAACTGAGTCGTGCTATCTGCAGTGATTGTAGGTTTAAATCGGATTTAAACAAGCTCTCGTCATGCATTAATTAACTTTCCAGACAAAAAACTGCTCCGTTCGGCTAGTGTACCCTATAGATCAACCAGCATCAGTCCTGTACAGCAGCGTGCTTTGTGGGAGTTCGTTGATTGGTCCTAGGCAGCACTGGCTGGTCAAATGGTGATGGAATGCTATGTTTAACACGCCGGATCTGCCCAAGTGATTTGGGTAGAGGCGAAACCACTGGGATAGGGCATAGACGAGGGGAATGCAGCTCACTGAATGATTAATTTTAGGGGACGGCAGACTGGGAGTCGTCAGTTCTCGCAGAATGTTGGCTGAGGTTTAAGTCACTACGTGTTGACGCAGTGTCTTAGGCAATGTTTGGCAGTGCTGGTTGCGGAGCCCAGATCAGGCTACTTTACACGCACGTTGGCGAAGGAGTACTGAGTGCCTTGTGGGAACTTCGGAAATAGCCTTGTAGGATTTGTGTTAGTTCCGCTTTACGACCAATATTTACTAGGCAGGGTAGGACATGGGTTAAAATGAACACGACAGTGTTCTGACTCGAGAGTTTGACCGGAAGTCTCGAAGATGTCCACCGTGTGCTCCATAGCAAGGCAGGGCAGGAGCGGTGACTTGCGCTACATCTACCGCAGCCTCTCCTCCTTCCCCACCCGGACCTGGTTTCAAGACAGAGTCAAGAACACCGGCCGCGGGGGAGGGCGCAAGTGGATGGCACGGTCGAGCCCGCAGCTTGGCGCTCCACTCCACGCTCGCCTGGTTCAAACAGCAAATGACCAGGTTTTTTACGAACAACAACAATGAGGGAGGCGGAAGGGGTCCCGGTGTGCGTGATGTCTGCTGGCAGCCGGGTCTGCCACCGCAACCCGGCATTTGTTATGCTGCCGCACCTAGGCGTGCCACTACACCCCTTGAGTATACGTAGTGGTTAGACAAAACGTAGTGCCTTGTTTGCTACCATTTGGGCAAAAACCTTCTATAAAAACATGTTATAAATACATAATGAGTAGAATGGTGATGACTCAAGTTTGCTCTATTTTCTCTCCACACTGTCACCCGACCAATCACGACGCGGCACTTTGGACTGTTTAGACGACTGAGGTCCCATAAATACGTCAGAAAATTAACACTGGAAAAAATAGAACGCTCCAGCTCCGGCATTCTGATGTCTGCCGACTTTGCTGTTGAGCAAGAGCTCCTGCCGCCCTACCTCTGCGCATTAGGCTATTAGCAAGGACTATCAGGCAAGTCATTAGCGTGAGCACAATGACCGGAAGATCTAAACACCCCGTCTACGCGCGCCACACACGATCTGTGACTGGTCCCATGAATGAAGGAGTGCGCGAAGGGCAACGCTATGAAGGGTATACTTGAGGTCTGGTCAATCCGGTGGTCGAATGTGCAGGTTGAGTGCGTGCAGGGGCGGTGTGCATGACTGGATTTGGTTGATTTTTCAGTCCCGCTGCAATGGATTTAAGGGCATCCAATCAGGCCTCTGCATGACTGGAATGTGTCCTAACAGCAAGACAATTCGACACCCTGTCTACGCGACTGTTGGTAGCTCCAGCGGTTTTTGAGACAAGGAGCAGGAGGGAATCTCATTAGCGCCTTTTCGGTCGTGCTGACGTCATAATGCGGGCGTCTATGAAGGCCATCCTGGATCTCGACCAAGCATTGGCACTTGGACATATTGAAAGGAATTGGATGTGGACAATGTTGATCCACGGTATTCTGTCTCACAGTCTTGTCGTCTTGCCCTGGCCTCCGTCTTTCGATTGATTTAGAAGGTTGCTAACTCAGTTTAGATGGTCGTTTAACATGCCTCCGTTCCTGTGTAAGCGTTCCCGATGCTCTTGCTTAACGTCGGAGCACTCGAGGAAGGTCTTAAAAGCGTTATTGCGGCGCTGTTTTTGTCCGCCATGTCTGTTACTACTCATTTGGTCGCATAAACAATTCACTTCAAAGTGCATTATCAGTCATGGTGCTACCGACAATGACAAGGGAAACTGGGATGGCCATTTCTGCTTCATTAGTCGTCGAGAGCCAGTCATACCCAACCCCGAAGTGTGGGACACCCGAGGCTCGATCTCGCAACCTGTTATTAGAAGTCCACGCCTCTAACCACTGGGCCACGAGCCCGTTGTCCTGTAGGTTTCGATCGGGAATATATAATCGTAGGGGGCGCTCACCGATCGTTCTTATGGAATTCACTCGTTCCGTTGTGCCTTACGGTGACTATCTCTCGAGCCCAACCAGCAGCCTAATATCGGCGCATAATATAGGGAGAATGGAGCTACCGACAAAGATAAGAGATACTAGAATGGCCATTTCTGGCTTACTACCATTATATATTCCCGATCGAAAACCGACGGGGCAACGGGCCCGTGGCCCATTGGTTAGAGGTGTGGACTTCTAACTAAAAGGTCGCGAGTTCGAGCCCTGGCTGTTCCACACTTCGGGGTTGGGTATGACTGGTTTACGAAGGCTAATAAGCCAGAAATGGCCACTCCAGTCTCCCTTGTCTTTGTCAATAATACCATTCTGCCTATATAATGCGCCGCTATGCGGCTGCTGGTTGGGCTCTAGAGAGAGCCCTTAAGGCACAACGGAACGAGTGAGTTCCGTAAGAACGATCGGAGAGCGTCCCCTACCACTATCAGCCATTTTCACGATGTTGCCGTTCCATCCTAGTTGGGTCAGCTTCAAAGTAGCCCGGCTGCTCAGTATGCCAGTCGACCTGGGGATCTGAGCGTTTAGACTCGTTCCTGCCACTTTACATTCGACATCTTGCGAATTCAACTTTAGTGGAAATGGTTTAGCCTTTGCAGTAGGCTGCGGTAGTTTTCAGGTCTCCGATTCGTGCTGTTGTGTTGTCGGAATGGCAGTCCCAAAATAGTCATTTCTGAATTATTAGCACTCGTCAGCCGTCCGTACCCAAGCCCGGGGTATGCAGCACCCGGGGCTCGATCCCGCAACCTGTTGGCTAGAAGTTCAACGCCCCTAACCACTGAACCACGGTCTGGTCTTCCTGTCGGTTGCTATCGGGTGTATACAATGGCGGAGGGACGCTCACCGACAGCTTTACGGAACTCACTAGTCCCATTGTGCATTGGGGCTCTCTCTCTCTCGAGCCCCGCCAACAGCCACACGACGATGCGTAATGAAGCAGACTGACTACCGACAAGAGCGGAGTTCGAGCCCCAGGTGTTGCACACCTCGATGTTGGGCGTGGCTGGCTGACGACGGCTAATAAGCCAGAAATGACCATTGCAGTCCCCCTTGTCTTTGTAGGCACTAACATTCAACACGCAGCTTTGTGTCTGCTGGCGAGATTCGAGAAGGATCCCCATGGCAAACGGGAATGAGCGAGTTCCGTAGTCCGATCGGTAAGCGCCGTCCTGC